GATGAACACCTTCCCTGTGCGTACCACCCACTGACAGTCCACACACTAAAAAGCCATCTCTCCTATACTGGGTACTCCTAAAGCCAACAGGAAAACACTAACAAACTCTTACAAGTATTCACCCTGCTCTAAAATGCAAAGTACTGTGCTCATAGTAGTATATTCCTCTGATCCAGTTTTGAATGATCAAGGTGACAGACTTGTTTGCAAGGATAATATCAAGGGCTTTGCACAAAGGCAGTGGATGCTGATGCTGATGCCAATACTAGGCACTTAGCTTTTTTGCTCAAGGCTGGCACTCTACCACTTAAGTCACACCTCCATTTTGGGCTTTTTGCTTGTTAATTAGAGATAAGAGTCTGTCGGGTTTGTCTGTCCAGGCTGGTTTCAAACTGTGAGCCTTAGATCACAGCCTCAGATCCTCAGCCTTCTGAGAAGCTAGGATTATAGGCGAACTACCAACATCTGGTTGGAGGCTTCTGCTCTACACTGACAGGCCCCCCCCCCACTTTTTGTCACAGATTCTAGGGGGAAGAAGTGTTTCAGTATTAAGCAACAAAACAATGAACACTGGCAAAGGATAACACAAATGAAACAAAATTTTGACTAGGGGAATTTGTGATCTAGAAGATTGGATATGCAGGTTTGAGCTCCTTCTCCTTTCTGGGCTCTGTTAGGACCATCTCAAATGGAGCTGTTTGACAGGAGGGTCATGGTTGAATTCTGGTGACACTGGAGGAGTTGATATAACTGTTCTGTTGATTTAGGGTGAAAGTGGTGCCCAGTCTCCTGCATTGTCATCCCTTGGTAGAGGCCCCACACCTTGAAGTTTACGAGTAGAGAAATGCTCAGGTGGGGCTAGGGGCTCAATTTTTCTGGGCTTCAATATCATCCTTTGCTCAAGAGCACTGATGGATTTAAATCAGATCCCAGAGAAAATACATTTAAAGTACTTAGCTTGGTGCCAGGCAGTCAGCAAGCACTTAAGGAATAGGAGGTATACATTTGTGATTAGTTTAGACTTCCAAATTCAGCTAACACACCTATAGTCATATCACCTTAGAGGAAATGAAAGGTCAGCATGGCAAGGATCCTGTGTTCCAGATCACCTAGCTTCAAGGTCAGGGGCAGAGCTAGACTGTCTGGTCAAGTATGTCTTTCTTGCTGTATCCCATTCTCCAGCAGAATTTTCTCGGCTGAGCTTTGCTCTTCAACACATCATATCATTCGTGGGCTTTTCACCTTTGCCCTCTCCCACAGAGTCTCCACCTCCCAAACCCACTCAGTCCCTAAACGCTGGTCTGTTACCTGCAATTCCTGCCTCATGGCTATGCCAACTGCTTTTCTCTCTGGAAGATTTTTTTCTTTGTCTTTATCCATGGCTGACTCCTACGTTCCCTCCCGGTGGCATCTCTGCCATGGGATCTTGCCTGAATAACCCAGATGACCCACTTTCCCTTGCTCTCCCATTTATGTCCTGTGCAATGCTTCCTCTAATTGATCATTGGCTTCCCTTCCCCACCCCCTACCTCCTTCACTAAAGCAGCACTGCATTTGTATTTTGCTGTGACCCAGCACCTAGCACACTAGCTGAAACCTATCTGAAGACAGATACTGCGTGAGGGAATGAGTGAATGAGTGAGTCAGGGAATGAATGCATTCAAGGGCCAGTGTATTTGGTAGCACCTGGACAAGCCTGAGGAAAGCATTAGCAATTTCTGGGAGAAGGACCTGGCGCCACTGCTTGTCCTGTTCCTTGGCCTCCAAAAAGAACAGCGCAAGGCTACCACAAGCCAGGGACCTTTCCAAACAGGCAGCCCCCACAAAAGCACATCTTGCAGGCAGAGGAAATGGGCGGATAGTTGCTAATTGCATCTTCCAACTGGGCTGATCTTTGAAAAGTTCGAGGCGCCTGCCTGCCTCCATCCATCTCAGGCTGCAACTGCTGCTGAGGGAGGGGAGCAGGGTGCGTTGGGCGCCTCTCAGGCTGGCACAAGGAAGCCACATCTCATCCTCCCTCCTCCCCCAGCTCCTCTCCAAGAGAGGAAGCAGTGCAGATGGAGATGAGAAATAAATATTCCTGCCTGCTCCGTGCCACTGCAGACGTTTTCCAAAATGTCTGGCTTGGACCATGAAATCTAGCCCACCCAGGAAAGGAAAGGAGGCGCTCAGCAGGAGAAAGAGGGGGAAAGGGTGGCATATTTGTCGATACTCGTCATCTTTCTTGGGAGGGGGGGACAGCGCACATGGCTCAGCCCCGCTGAGGTGGGGACGTGGTAAACGCACAGTAATAACTTGAAGAATGGAATCAGAAATGGGAGCGAAGTGAAGGTAAACATGCCAGACTATCTGCAATGTCTCTACACCTCTGTCCAGGGTCCTAGGATGCACAACGAGTTCTTTCATTGGTTTGTGACTCTTTTCACAATACCACCTTCCCCCCCACCCCACCCACCCTGGCAAGCTCTTGTCACCTCCACTCAACCCCTGGGAATGGTGCTTCAGGCTTCCTTCAAAGGCCTTTTGCAATTTGGGCAGGAACTCAGAATCTATGTGTGGAGATATTCCTGCCACCTCGAAGCACAGCTCGCCTGCTCTAATACTGGAATCCTGGCAGGAGATGAGAACATCGGCTGCAAATGAGAAGTGGGTGCTTTGGGCTTTGGGGTGGCCAAGTGTGTGGGAGAAGTGTCACTAAGAAGGGAAGTTACAGGCCCAGCAATAGGCACTGAAGTGTTCTGCATTACAGGGCCTTCGCTAGGCCTGCTGAGAGGCTGCAAAATGTCTCAGGAAAGGAGAGAAGAAAATGAGAATTGGAGCTTGAAAACTCTTGCATAGGACATTCTAGTCTTTGCTTCTAACCATCCTGGGAGAGGCTCTAGGGCTGATGTTCTTGATCTGGTAGCCACCAGACCTTCCTCCACTAGACCTCTTGGTAAGTCAGTCATTAAGGTAGAGCCGTGGGTAGGTCAAAAGATGGGCCAATAAAGAGCAATGGGGCCTTCTTGGTTTTTATGAGTTCAAGTCCAGTGTAGTGAAAATACTTGCTTCAAATGAACACTCAAAGCAAGTGATGTCTTCGGTAGATATCAGGGGAACATGTTTCAGAAACGATACAACATTTCATTCTGTCCTTTCTCATTATTTCTATGATTTCTCTCAGGAAGGAAACATTGTCTTTATTATTTCCCACTCATGTGAACTAAATCTTTGTGAATCTTTCCCACTCAGTTGCTCATCTGCTTTCTTGTGCCAGGCTATTGCTAGCTGAATACCATTTTCTCCAGGAAGCCATTCACGGTGGGGGAAAGCTAATAGAAGACTCAAGTTCTTGTTGCCACTCTGCCATTGCTGTGTGACTGGAGACAATGATTCCCTCTAGCTGAGCCTTTGTTTCTTTGTAAACAAATGGGGTAGACAGGCTACCTTTCAGCTGTGACATATTAGAGGTGCTTCTGGAGAATGAAATTGGATAGAATTCCTATTGTCACTATCTTCTTCTCATCCAACCATTGCCAACAAAAAAATTCAAGGGAATAAGGCTATCATTGGCTGTGGGAGGCTCAGTCCTGTTACCTGGGAAGGTCAGAGCTACATAACAGAATAACTGGAACATGGAGAGGTGATCTAGAAATGGTTTGAAGTGTCACAGCCAATGTTTCCCTTAATTTCCAGGAAGAGTATATATAGGTTAAGAAAAGGCCAAAGTAGGATATATTTGGAAAATGCTGTGTCTATGCATGCTTGACTCTTATTACATGTTACTAAGCCCAGATGCTTATTTTCTGAGGTCTACTATAAGCTAGGACTATGCTATGTTCTTTCACCCACATTTTCTCAATACATTATGGATGGTATTAGCGAGAGCACGAGGGGTAGATGACACTCCCCAGGGTCAGAGACAGTGACACCTGCTCAGGATCCCTGAGCTGGTTAATATTTGCTAATAGGATTTGAGCTCCGTTTTCAGGGATGCCAAACGTGATGTTGCGCTATAAACGATCACATGCTGGGCCTCGTCTTGGCATTCAATACCCATCTGGGAGAATCCTCAGTCAGGCTGTTTTGAAGACACACATACTGTAGGCCCCAGGTAGACTGCCTTTCTTATGGCAGTGTGGAAAGCAAACAGCTCTGAGCAGGCAGGAAGGGTGAGAGAGCTGGGTCCTGGAAGCAGCCCGTGGAGCATTCCATGTATTTATCAGAAACATACTTGCTTCTATCCACCTTTACCTTGCTTTCCTCCTTGACCATTCTGAAACAAGATCAGAACCCCTCAAAATTTGCTCTCATCTGCTGAAGAAGTTGTATGCAAATGACTCCCAAGCCCAGACAGGTATGAATCCTAGAAACCACCACGAGGGGGCTCAGCAGGCCACACACAGGCGTCCAGTCTCCAGAGACCCCCAGGGATCTGCTAGCTTTTGCTGCCTGTGGTTGTGCGTCTGTGCAAGCCCATGCAGCACTGTAGAATTCTTTGTTAAGTCTCCTGGTTTTTAAATGTGTGCAATTACTTCAATTAAGAAAATCATACAGTAAGGACCACATAAAACACACTTGCAGCTCTATCTGACCTATGGGTCTCTGTGTACAATCTCTAAAACAAATATTCCTCACTTATATATAGGGAGGGTAAGGGTGGGTCTGAGCAACTGATTTTCCTGAAGTAGTAGAGAGTAGGTGAAGGCCAGCAGCCCTCTGCATGCATATGCATAGAGGGATACGTTCCTGTGTATAAGCAATTTGTGTAAGCATAAATTCTACACATGCACATGTACATTTGTGGATGGAGTAGAAATGATGCTGGGGTAGCGTCATTATGAAATATCCTGTCTTATTGTCTTAAGAGGGTTAATATGATACCTTAATAATTGACTGCAGTAAACACACATAATCAGATTTTCCCCAAAACAAAGAGATACAATATCACTCCTCCTGTAAGCGCAACCCAAACTAAAACAGAAACCTTAACCCAGGAGGGAAAATAGCTCTTTACTTACGGTAAACGACAGAAAGGAAGAAAACAAGGTCCCTTCATCGTATCTGGATAGTTTTGCCAGGACGCCTTCCAAGATAGTTACGAACTAGTAAAACAGCAGAAAGAAAAAAATATTATCTCAAACTCATTGCTCACAATAAGGCGCAGTGTTTCCCAACCTCTCGGAAAATGAATGCTCTGTTCATTTCTGCTTTCAATTATTTAATTCCCACCTTTGGGGGGAAAAAAAGAGCCTGCCGTAACATGGAAATATTTGACTTATCCGGCTTTCTCTCATTATTATGTGATTGCAAATATAGAGTGCTCCAGAAGTGAAAAGTGACAAAATATTATTGAGTTGCATATAGCATGCGATAATATTAAATGCACTTTTCAAAATCCAAAACTGCGCAAAGCAGTTTTTTTTTTACGTTACATATTAGCACTACATTTAATCCAATCTATTTTTATTTGTATTTTATCAGTAATTTGGGGGAAACAGAAGTTTAGCACTGGCAAATATAAATGTCTTCCCATTCAACATTACTTAGTTAAAATTCTATAATTCATGAGGATGACTGAAATAGCTTTATCTGACTTTTATGTTTTATTATGACTCTCACTGCATGTAAAACTAGAGGAAAAGGGGATTTCATGATGGCACAATTCCTTGTTACCATTTAACTTTCTGTATTTAAAAATCTAAACTTTGTCAGCACTGAAAAACAAAACAAACATTTCCCATCTAACCTAGTGCAACATGCAGGGACCAAGTCTTATTAAGTTAACATATGCCACTTCATCAATTTATTTTCACACAGCTCACAATCATCAGAAAAATCATTCAGAGCTGTGGCTGGGTGATGTACAGTCTTGTTTCCCTGAGACAGAAAGTACCCAATTCAACTTTTTAACGTGTTACATTTTAATGGAAATGCAGACATAACAAAACAACATTCACAATGAAGCCTTTCTGAAAGTTACCTTTGCCACCAAGAGTGTTATCATTTCTTTAACAGTTTCTTCAATCAACTCGTCTATTTTTGAATGATACTGATGCTAAAGAACACAGAAAGACAACTATTAGCAGGTTTGGGCGGTGATGGCTCTATACCCATCAATAATTTTTAGACCACATCAACTATATATAAATAAAGCCTGGCCTGCAGACCCAGTGAATTTTCCTAGTTCTAGAAACATCTGTAAGATTTAGACTCCAGGTCTTTGATGGAGAGAGATCTAAAGCTCTTAAAATAAAAAAAGTCAGCAGACTCATTGTTCCTACCCAAGGCTTTAGATAGCTTTGATGTGTGTAGACGCACCACACCACACACACACACACACACACACACACACACACACATTTATGAGTAGCACACATGAATGGCTTCATAGCCTAGCAGTGTGTTGATCTGAATTTTGCTAGGTAAGATACCACTGTAATCTAGGAAAGGAGAAGAAAAATTATCTTGGGGAAGCTGCTAGGGATATGTGACTTATTTAGCTCAGTTCCTCCAAAAGGAATCTGACCAAGACACCAATTTTGTAAAAACTGCTCTGAATCCTTCATGTACTTTGAGTTCATTTCTCAGAGCTCACCTGTTTCTCTCTAGGTATTGACTCAGTGTCTACACAAAAGGGTCTCTTGCTGAACCCTTGTGGTAAGCCACCTGATTTTCTCCACTTAGAAATAAGCAAACCTAGGTTCAGAGCCTCTATTAAAACTGCTGCTAAGTTTTTCAATTTCTCTAACTGTGGCTGTCGATTAAATTTAAACAGTAATGTGAAAACAAACCCCCACACAAACAAAAATCTGCTGTAAATGCCAGGGAAAAGGAAAAGCAATTTCAACACAGAGTATTATATGCCAGCTCCTTGACATTTATTAGATGATTTTAAGTATCCATTTGAATTATTCTGTATTTCCTTAACAAAACAACAACAACAATAATGCAAAACATTGTTATTTGGAAGGAAAATGCACTTACCCACTCTTTAGCAAACTTTCAGAAGGATGATTAATTAGGAACAGAAAAGAAAAAAAAAAGGAACAGTGCAAATAAAAATTAGGACAAAAGGACACATGAGAAAATAAAAATTAAACAAATGATTCAAAATTATGAACACATATAGAAAGAAGCTATAGGAATGCGTGGCTCAATATTCTAATAACTGGCAAGCAAAATGTTTGAGAATGAGCCAATATTTGAGGGGCTTGTTTGTAATTGGAAGACCTGGATAAAGTCCCAGGGCAAAGATGAGAAGTAATTGCCTGTAAAAATTTAGCTTAGTTTCTTTATCTGTAAAAAAAAGAAAAGAAAAGAAAATATATACTGATACTATAACTAGAGAGGACATGAGTATGAAGAATTGATTTTAGAAAGGAAAATAACACTAAACTGGTATAGAGATTTTTAAAAGCTATATATTTTAAAATATCCAGAACAGAGGATTTTGAATGTTTCTACCACATTCACAAAAGATAAATGTTTAAGATGTGTTTTAAATATCCTGATTTGACCATTAGAAAATATACACACATCAAAACCTTATATTATATCCCGTAAGTGTATATAATAAGCATGTTCAATCAAGAAAAAGAAATTTAAATATTTTAATTTGATACGTTTTAGCATTACTATAAAAAAATCAATGTCTACGTCCTTTCCTGGCATGAAGTGCTCACATTCATAGATCTGAAGATGTCATAAGGGTCTAGAAGTGAAAACATTTCCCCAGTTGTAATTGCAATTTAGACATTATTTCTTCATCAAGTAGCTGATATGGGTTGAGAAAGATGATCTTATTTCTTAGTCACCCTCCTCCTCATATTAGTTGATTAGAGACAAAAAGCAAACAGCCTATGGTGTTTAGTTGTGATGAATCAGAACCTAGGTTGGATATACTGTGAGATTCAAGAGAGGGTTTACTCATAAGTGGCATAAATCTGAAGCTAAATGCAAAGAAAAGAAACTGCAGATTTCTATGCTAGAAGCACAAAGAAAGATGTCAGAGCAAAAGAATTTGGGACTATTGACAAGGTTCCAGATTCTTTTTTAGGTCTTGAGATAAGATCCAGAATCACATCCTTACTTTCCTTCCTCATATGACTGCCTCACTCCACTGGGTTTTCTGTGGATTTCTATAAAATAACTCACATTTATTAAATTAATTATGGAATTAAACTGAATCAGAAACCCTCACTGTGTGCAAAATAATACATGAACATCAGCATAAGGGCTTCTCACTTGGTGAAGAAGAACATCATTGGGAATATGAACACACTCATGAACAACTTGGCCGAAGTGGTAAAAATAGACAAAAGCAATAGTCCACACACTAAGAATGAATCAAGGTCTTGGTGTGAATGGCAACTGGTTTAAGTGCTAATTGAAAAAGACAAGCAAGCTTGCTCAGGAGCTGGGGAACTAGTTCTAGTTTTTTCCTATGGAGACATGGTGCACACACTTGGATCATGGAGTCACGGTGTTTTGTGGGAATCTTTTCTTCAATTTCTTGGTCCCTAATCATCAGCTAGGTAGTCCTACTATTATTCTTTTGTACTCCATACAAATATAATGACTTCTACTCTTCTCTTGTTATAATATTTTTTTTTACTTATAAAAAGTGGTTTGATATGATTGTTCTGTCTCTTGTTTCCAAAGAAATTTGTACAGGACAATCATATTGCTTTATTTTCTTATCTCTGAAAGAGGAGTAGAATTATCACTGCTTTGAATGTAGAAGTCAGATTTACCTAACCACAAAATGACAAAATATATAGAAACATGTCTTAAAAACTTAGAAGTGCTGCATGGCAGTATCAATACTCCACAGGACCATTACTAATTAGCCTGGTGGTTACATGTGTGCACACATTTCTCCAAACTCACCTAGGGTCTATACTTTACCAGATGTCAATTTTGCCTTAACTGAACTTAATTAAAGTTTAGTTTGGGACATAGTAGGGCAAAGTAATAATTATTCTCTTAATGATAGAGTGAAGTGGTAAATGTCAAAACAGCCCCCATTCCTAGATGGGAATTAATAAAATATAAGGATCTGTTTTGTCAGATAATTTGCTTTTCTGGAGCAACAGTGAGACTCTGCCTTTATATTCTGCTCTTTCTGGGTTTATTCTTTCTGAGATACATGTTCCAGGCAGATGCAAAGCCTCATAAAGATACACACACACACACACACACACACACACACACACACACACACACACACACACACACACACACACACACACACACACACACACACACACACACACACACACACACACACACACACACACACACACACACACACACACCACTGTGGTTTCTTCAAATTGTCACATTTTCTACCAGATTATCTTACCAGGAAATGCTTGCAGTCTGGATCAGCCATCCAATTCTACTGTGAGTTCCCACAAGCATCTTTCCTATTTCCCCGTTCTCGGTGTTGGCCTTCTTAGATTTACTTGACCTACACTTAAGTGATACCGTGGGGGCTCTGGATCACGGTGACAAGCTATCAAGAGAACTACTGATTTTCATAGGTATGAAAAGTTTGGGAACTTTTGCTGCAGATTCGCAATCACTGTGTGAAAAGCCTTCCACTTGACTTCCTGTGCTGCACATTTTGCCTTGTCATGGGACAGATGGTGTGTATGTTGTCTTTCTGCTAAGACCATCTGACCTTGGAAATGAGACGAAAACACACTAGACCAAGTGAGAAACTCTTTAATACACAATTTCCTCTCGATTGGTACTTCACAAATTTTAATGAAAAAATAAATATTTAAGATGGAAAAGTATGGTTAACAAATGTCTCAACAGCTGCCTGTAGATGAGAAATTATCCCAATGATGAAATTCAGGAAGTGGTCTTGAAATTGAAGATTATATCACCTCCTTAGGACTTAGTCTAAAGCAGGTTGATGGAGGTAGAAATCAGATGGCAACCAGTATTAGAAAAAAGATTTATAAGATGAGCTCAATATTCACAAAGTGTAAACTACATAAAAAAAAAACACTGGGCTTTCCTCTATTCTTATCCCAGTTTTAGAATGTTACATTTCAATTCTGCTCAATCTTATGTTAACAAGTCAGTTCTACTTTAGAGATGAATATCCCCATTCTACAAAGTGAGAAAAGTCATTCAGGGACTATTTCCATGTGACCTCCCACTGAAGTTCTGCTCAAAATTAGAGCTACAATACCAAGGCACTCAGAGGAAGTACAATCATATCTGGCTACATCCTAATTTTTCTTAGCTACTGGGTATTCTAAGATTAGAAGGGACCTTATTTCTCACTGGCTGGTCACTTAGGCCTCTGGTTTATTTATACTGAGGAGAAATGTCATGGTAGGTGTTTTTAACATAGTTTGGGAAAATCTGGATATCCTTAGACTAAGAACCATAGGTTGAAATGCAGTATTTAGTCTCTCATTCCCACTCTATATGTGTATGGGTTTCTCAAGAAAAAAAATAAGAAGAAGAAATGGATGCATATCTCAGTTATTGTTTTCATTAAAAATGCGAGTCTTATGAGGGAAAATACATACACCTTTGAAAATAGAACAAGGTCCAGAAAGAAATGGCCTTAAAAAGGTTACAATTCGGATAAATCCAGGATAATTCTTTAATCTTACATCTAGATATTGGGGTACTGGATCTCCAATTTTAAAAAGATACATGGTTCAAATGGTTGTGCATCACATGCTAGATCTCTCATGGGTAAATTGTGACAATAAAGTTGCAGGTTATATAGTTTGGTAGCTGAGAACTCATGGTATATAGTGATCAAGCCACAAGACCATCTTTTTTTCTTCTAGAAAACCAGACTCTGAGGTTAATCCAGGATCATTCTACTTTCACACAGAGATGATAAGAGATTAAGACGAAAGCCAGGCTCCAATTGTGACAAAAGTCAACTTATTATTTCTCATCATATACATTCAACCAGGATCTATGGCTTCATCCAAGGAGGTTCATAGGTCACCTGAGACTGTAAAGGAATTTTTGTTCATGGATTTTGGACAACTCTGTTACCCTTCCCTATTTTGGTTATTCTTCACAAACACCTAATTCCAAAGAAAAATGTTATGATTAGAGTGACTTAGTTTGCTTAGAAGGAATGAGGGAGCTCCTTGCCCAAGGCACTAAGAGAAACACAGGGCCCAGGGAGACCACTCTTACCACATCAACTCTCACGCCCTAGAATGGTGTTTCTTTATGAAATCTAGTCAACATATCTTTCTCAAAATTACCCGAGGGGAAAAAACAAACATTGAACTCTAACAAACTTTAAAAACTCATTTTTTCTTGCTTTGAAGGAAGTTATCAAGAAGTTAAAAACAACCACAACAACAATTGGGTGCTGGTGGCTCCTAGGTACTCAGGAGGCTGAGATCTGAGGATTACAATTCAAAGCCAGCCCCGGAAAGAATGTCTGTGAGACTCTTATCTCCAATTAAGTACCCGAAAACTGGAAGTGGCACTGTCACTCAAAGTGGTAGAGCGCTAGCCTTTAGCAGAAGAGCTTAGGGACAGTGCCAAGGCCCTGAGTTCAAGCTCCATAACTGAAAGAAAAAGAAGTGAGAGAAAAGACAATCTACAGAGTGGAAGAGACCACAATCATGTATGTAATAGTCTATCATGAAGGAGATATTAAAAAAAATAAAAACAAAAAACTCTTACAACTCAACAACGAAGACACGAATAATCGGGTTAAAAATTAGGTAAAGGATGAAGTATAATTCAATTGAAAAGAACAACAACAAAAAAAGCAGTAACAGTGACTCAAGGGGAAACATTCAGAAAGAATAGTTAGTATTCTAGGAAGTATACACTCAAAGAGCTGTTTAGTGAATTTCAGAGATTTCCTGAACAAGGTTTTGAAAGTGGGCTTTGTGAAGCCTAAAAGCTTGCTGAGTCCCCCAGAGAAGCTAGAGTGGGCGGTGGGTGTGAAGAGGTAAAAGTTGGAGAGGAACTCACCAGCTTGGGCTCTGGGCCCCCTCCCCCCTTCCTTCCTCACCTCCCTTTACCCTTCATTCAGCGCAGCTCTATTTTTAGCTCTGTCACAGGCTGGCCTTCTGGGTAAAATCTGAAGAAGTGATGTTTGTAGCTGAAAACATAACGCTGGAGCAACGCTATCATTTTACAGACAAGGAAACTGAGGCCTAAAGAGGCAGACTGACTTGTGCAATTCTAGTTTGCAGTGAAACCATTGTGAGAATTCAAGCATCTACTTAGCCAACCAAGGCCTTTTCCCAGGGGCTAATGCTAGCTGCCCAAGTCCTTCCCTTTAAATTATTTTTTTGTATACCAGACTTCCAAACTAGTAACCCTCAAACTCAGGTCTGTGGAACAGCCAAGAGAATCAGTATAGCCAGAGAACTTGTCAGAAATGCAAATCTGCATCCCACAGTCCAGAAGCTTTTGGACAGGACGCAATGAATTGGGTCTTCTGAATCTCTCTGGATGGTGTTTGGGATTTGAGAATCATGGTACCAGATCTCATGTAGCAAGTGGAGCTGGGAAAGAAAATCCAGGGCCCGGGCATTTGACTTCAGTGCCTAGAACTTGCTCCCTGGGAAAAGCTTGAAAGGAAAATCAAATGAGGAACAGAAGCTAGCAGGAGGCGGCTGAGGAAGCTCACTTGTAGGGGTGGGGAACAAGGTTGGAGAAGATCTTGCCAGGAAGAGAATACCACCAACCCACATTTAAAAATGGAAGGTGCCGAAAGAGAAAATAAATAACGAATAAGGAGCAAATATAATTTAGTAAAAATTCTGAGCCTGTAAGGCTGGTATTGAAAGATCTGATTTAGGAGCAATTGATGCCAATTGGCAACAACATAGAGTTGCCAGAAATGCTTCTGAATTAATTCTAAATTGGTATATGAATATCTAGCTGGCTTAAGGCCATCGGAGAAAAATGATCATGATAGTCTTTAATCAAACCCAAGTTGCTGTTTCCTTCTCCTTTACATTTTAAATACCGCTTTGGAATTGGAAACGCAGCAGAGGACTAAACTTTCGGTCAAGGAAGATTCACAATCCATCTATGGGAAGTTGAAAGGCTGCAAATTTTGGACATTCAACAGAACCTGCTGCTGGCTGGGGATTGGGGAGCAGTGTGATCGAACATCATATATCCTAGAAAGTGCTGGATGCAAGAAAAAGCTCTCCTGCTGTCCAGATGTTCCAAGTGATAAAATGTACTTCAGATGTGAAAGTGAATTGGATGCTGGCAAACATGGATCTGTTGGAGATACCAGCCTAATAAATAAGGTCATCAAACATTGCTTAGCTTAAAGGAACCACTCCCACTCCCCCACCCCCCTGCCAAGAATCACTTCCAAGTGACTGGCACACTCATCAGCACATGCCTCTGAAATGTACTTGACAGATACCAAGCACTTATTCGTGGCTTAATCTGCAAATGTTAAAGAGTATATTTTTGAAACTAGCAGACTAGGATAGATGGAAGGGATTTGTGAAGTTTTCTTCTACATGATCAATGGCGAGAGATGAAAAAAAAACTTTTTTTTTCTTTACCTCTTGGCCCATTTCCATACTGCAAAGTTTTGTTGATTGAGCCTTGGCATCAACCATAACATTAAACATGGTGCATATTGACTGTGGGACTCGAAAATCTGTTGATCGACTGGTTTTTTGCAGCTTAACTTCAAATGCAATCCTGGTTCTATTAAAACAAAGTAGGAAAAGACCAATTCAGTGTTCAGATGGCAGCAGGTGGAGGAGACATTTTTCTGAGAGGTTAGTGAAAAAGAAAATTGAAGGCCGTAATCAGTTTCAATTGACAATGTCTTCACATGTGTTCTCTTTTAAATGACCTCCCCATCTAAGGAAGGCCTATTCATGGGGACAGCTACACACACCCTTCCTTTCTCGGCAGTACATGGAACACCTGTAGCTCAGTGTGTTTCTGTCTATAGTTTACATGGTATGGAGAATCTTAATTGTAAGAGAATGAATGAATAAAAACCCGATTATAGCATTACAGCCTATATAAGTTCTCTCACATTGGCTACTGCCTACCTTGAATCACTTTATTTAAAAAAAAACAACACAAAAAAGGCAGTTTCTAATCTTCAAAACCTCACAGAAAAGAAAAATCTTAAATGACATTCATTGTTGTTGGATTTTTTTTCTTTCTGGGTTTGAAAGAGACCAAAAAGGGAAAAAATTTCACAAATTTGTGATATCATCTTAAAGACAAACAAACAACACAAAACCCCAAACTAAAGCCCAGATTTTTTTCTTGTTCAAGAGTTATAAGAAGAAATTATATCAAGCTGTTAAAGAGGACTACTCTTTAGGGAGAAGGAGTGAAATTTTTTAAAAGGTGTGGTATTCAGAAAAATTCCATGATTAAAAAAGTGTTGTCCATGCACTGTTTTGCAGTAAGTATATAATTTAAAATAAAAACAGTATTGTTTATGACATTATACTATGTCTAATATATAATATAGAGTTTATGTCTCTAATCCACAAGTCAAGAATTGTGTAATGGTAGAATTCCAACCTAATATTATTCTCATATAGGTGACATTCTGACACCAGCACGTACTTAACCACTCCCAGAAAACCCTAGCTGGGCATGGGCAGTGGGTGATACAGGTGTGAGATTGAGTCTTTGATGCTGGCATTGTAAAGGAGCCCAGCTATATCCTAAAAGGTTTCAGAGAAGTGGGTCACATCATCACATGTGTTTAAAGAAAAGCAAGTAGCTTTATTAAAACCCCGGTCATCTAATGTGTCTAATGGTTTTCAGCATTGTTCTCTGTCAGGATCCTGGGCTCATGCAGTCACCAGGAAAGCATGGCTTTAAGAGGAATTGGTAGCAGTTTTCTAACAGTGCATAGGAGGATCACACTGCTAGTTAGCTCAGGAAAGGATGCCAGCTTGCTAACACACCCTGGGTGCATGCAGGGAAGCCAAGTATAATTTCTAAGGTTGGAAGCCCAGTTCTTAAGGAAAAAAAAACCCAAACCCTCAAAACACCCCTATAGATTATATGATCATGTTAAAGATAAATGCATCTTGGCTTCTAAAGTCTCCGTGCACTGAAGTAGCTTTCTAATCATGATGATCATTTTAAGCTCTGCTGAAAATACATCCTCTTCTCATTTTGTGAAAAGCAAGCCTGATGGGGACTGAGTTGGACAGGTCTCTGTGGCTGATCTTCTGAAGCTGAGGTGCCAGTTCCGGCCCAATCTGAGAAATGGAAATGCTAAAATGCTTCCTTCCAATGAAGCAATCATTTTCTGTGTTCACAGGGGAACTGTTCACAGCCCGTGGAGTGCAGGGCTGTGAAAGAGGAAGGTGAATGCAAAATTAATATGATTGAGAGGGATCTAAGGGATCCTAAAGCTGGGCAGGGAGGGGTCATTTAACACAACTGACTCTCGTTGAGGCTAGAGCCGGGCTACCTTGTTTTGGATTCAGTTCAGAATGTGACAGACTCTAGATTAGAGGCTCTCTGTCAGGTGAGTCAATTAACTCCCCTGGAAACTTAAGATACCAAGTGTTTCTTATTGATATTTTTAGCATTGCATATTTCATGAATAAACATCCTTACTACATTGTCCTAGAACAAAGATTATTTATTCTGCCCCCCCCAAAAGAAAAACAATGGTTCTAAGGCTCTTCTAATGAAGATTTTATGTCTTGAAATATTCTTCAAGAACTTCTCTATGTCATCTCTTCTAAAGCTGGAGATGAGGGGGTGGTATTTCCAGCTGCTTTTGCTCTTTTCTACCTTTGTGCTTAAGTCTAGGGCCTTAATTGGAAGGGACAGCTGGCAATTCAGGAGCCCATGGACTAGGTTTTAACAATAAAAGGGTACTTGGCTACCACACAATAAGCATGTCACTGGAACCAGGTGGGTGAGCATGCCAAGAGGCCATAGTCAGGTCCGCTTCCTGTTGCTGATTAACTCACTTTCTTTGGGTATCTAAACCATAAGGATTACTGAAATGTTCTATGGGATTAAATCAAAGTCTTACCAGCTTGAACATCCTCAGTCCCCTTATCTCTGAGCTGCTATTTCCTACTCCTTACCCAGGACACTGGCTTCTCCACGAAGGAGATACATGTCTTTCTGTAGAATATTTGCATATAATCAGGCGCTGGTAAATCTTAATTCTAACACATTTCAACTTCTTGGTGAGATCAGGGGAGAACCTTTGGCCTCGGGGAACTGTTTTGTAAGAAGATTTTGGCTTAAATAGTTTGGCCACTGGAAAGTCATTGCTTTTCCTGAAATTGATAAGACTATGTAGGAGATGGTAGAATATAAAACCCTGAGGAGATTTTTTTTTGACTATGGATTTGAGAAGCAGATCTGTCTTTGGCTTTAAGGGTGAAAAGAAAAGAGCAAAAGTGAAGATCTGGAAGTCTAAGCTTCAAGAAGTAGCATAAAAGGCCTACCGGGACACTCCAGAGCCCAGGGTTCTTCCCCATTTCCTGTAGCATTGCAGCTCATCTACCTGAGAGGGCATTGGTCTTTTGCCACTGGGTCTCCCAGTTTTGAGGCTATGACTTCTCTGTTCTTCTTCCAAGATGAATGATGGATTCAGAGCACTTCTAGGCAAATCCACACCTCCTCCCTCCCCTGTGTCCCCAACAACTGATTCATCATCATCTAAACTATACAACATCTGGAGAACTCGAGTAGCCTGTGCTGCTTATGGTCTACTACTTTTTTTTTTTTGAATGAGGAAAAATAAGGGAACAGTTATGAGCTGTAAAAAAAAGTTGGATGTGTGCCTAGGGGAGGTAGGGTAATGATGTCAAATCTATGGAATTTACTTCTGTATTTCATATATACGTAGAAGACACTCCATAAGGGAGTTTTTGTGCAGAGAGTATGGGAAGAACTAAAAACAACTTTGCTGAAGGGATGTATATTGTCTTCATTTTCTTCCCCTCACCTTCCTAGAACAGTCTTCATGGGGACTCTCTCCAGTGCAGCAATGAACTTCCTTAATCCCAGAATCCACAGTGACAAACCAACAAAACCGACAAGGCCTAGGGTACATTCAAAGTCACATGCCCTTCTGTGATACTCAGTTAAGCTTCTGGCTAACTAACTGCACATAGCAGGTACTGGGCTCCTGTACTGAATGAATGTGCATGCTGAGGCCTCACCTTCTTTTGCTGGGGAATTATTAAATTCTTGTGACCTAAGGATCCGCATTTCAGATACACTGGAGGTAGAAGTGTAGACTCTTGTCTTATTTCTTCCAAGCTGTTCACTTTCTACATTCACATACTTAATAAATATTTATCATGTAAATATTTTCTGCTAGACACCACTGGGGATGTTGAAGATAAAAAGATGAAAAAGTGGGATGGGAAGGGGAAACAAAGGAGGAGGCAACAATGTTCGATAAGAAATGTACTCAATTACCTTGCCCATGTAATTGTAACCCCTCTGCAGGGTATTTTCACAATAAAAAAATAATCAAAAAAAGATGAAAAAGTATAAACATGAGTCTTTTCCCAATGGAGCCAACAACTATGAGGATATTGGCAGCCAAATCAGTTGGGGACTGGGTTAGAGCAGACAATTCCAAAGCTAGACAATTTCCTTTTCTAAAACACTCCAAATCACAGCTTACTGAAAAAAGGAGACATTAGGCATTAGCTATTCCTGGAGTTAGTGGACAATGGAGAAAGTGGGTTGAACCTGTGGAGCACCTGTGCTTACCTTTTGACACAGGATTCAATCATGTCACTTGCCATCAACTTGAGCCGTTGTTCTAGGTGCTTTCCAAATTCTTCCTCAGGCCAGTGCAGGTCCCTAATGAAGGTCTGAAGAGCATCAAGTTTCCAGAATAGGTCTTCAGAGGTGCCTGATCCGTTACTGGCAGGATAAAAGTTAGAAAACAAGAGTCACCCAATGGCCTCAGGCTGGGAAGAAACTAACACAGAGACAACTAGAGGCTAGAAGGCTTAAGGCAAACAGTGGCTTCCACATACACAACGACGTGTGTTGGCGGTGGAGATAGGGGGCAATCTCCACCGGCATAATTTGAGTTTTACCATACATGACTCAGTCTACTTTGCTCAGCCAATTACTCCAGACCAGTGAGAGTCTGAAGAATACCATCCTGTAACAACTAGGCAATGGTGTATGGTAAAAATCAGCCTTCTTTTAATTACCACATTAAGACATGTGATGATTCAGATGAAGGCCATGACCAGGGGGAGAATTAAATCTCCGTGGATAATAACTACATGGCAACATGCAGTTATTAGGTTCCAGGGCTTCATGCATTTCCCCAGCTCCCCTCCAGAGTGGAGGCCTCTTGGAAACTGCACAAGACTTTCCGTTTTTAAAAGGACAGTGCTAACAAAGTGGTGAGCGAGGACCTGCTTTCTCTCTTGAAGAGCTGGAAAGAAACTGGGGTGACTCAAGATTGAAGCGGGGATACCTGGATACCTTGAATCCAGAATTCCTCTTTGGTTTAGTTATATTCCAATTGTCATAAGACCAGCCCATTGTATAGGCAAGCCCCAGGCAGGATGAGGGGAGGGGAGGCAGGGGATATTTGCAATGCTTGGAGCTCAAAGCATAAGCTCTTTTCCCATTCACCAGCTTACCTAGTCCTCCGTACAGAGGGGAGAAATAGGATTTGATTCCTTTCTGTACAATGACATCCAAGCAACATTTACCTGGGGCATCCATGGAAAGCCTGTATATGAGGAAATGCTCCACCTCTCACCCCTTTGCCCTTCTCTGGCTGGCTTTCTCTTTTGGAGCTCTGAGGGGTGGCCACCCCCCACCCCCTTCCTCGCGTACCACTAATGCTAACACGGTAATTTATAAAATGTCCAACACACCATGCATTACCACTTGTTCTGACATCGTCTATAGAAACAGATGAGAGTGGGTGTTTCTATTGTGACAGATGCCAGCTGCATTGAATTAATGCTTCAGAGAGAAATATAGCTAGTGCATAAATGCATACACAGCTACTGCGGGGTGGGGAGCGGGAGCAAACTCCTAACATGCCGAGACTAACGGCCTGGACCAACAGGGTAATGTTTTCAGGACAGACCAGTCTGAGGTCAGTATGTAGATGTATCTGACACGAAGGAGCAGGTAACATGGAAACACGTCCTTAAAATGAAAGGTGGCAAAGAAGGAAAACTAGAATCATGAAAAGATATAGAATCAGGCATTTCCTGGTGGACGACTGAGAATCCACGCCTTCTTCTCAAGATTACCATCGTAAGCAGGGCTCAGAAATGGGGGAATGCCTTCACTCTCTAGAAAGTTCAGCCTTCCCCCCCCCACCATCCTACCCTACACTTGTCGGGGGAGACAGAAGAAACCCCAACTTTGTCTAGTGTAAGCCCCGTTTTGGAACTGCATGGTTGATGTTTTAAATCATTAAGTACATATGAATGCAATAATTGGTATTTATTACAACAACATTTTGACACCCATCTGGTTTCAGAGTTTCAAAAAATTCTTGTAGGGTTTTTTTTCTTTGAAGAGCTTATTATTAAGTTTTGACATGAGGAAAAGAATATTTTCTTTTTATTTTTAAGATAAACTGTTAATGTTAAGGCAATAGCACCAAGATTATTTTGATTGCTGAGCAGTTACCAAAATGTGTTCTCACTCATGCCTTAATTAATTGAACGGAGACCATTATCTGCTTTATTATAATGTCTTGATTCATATCTTTTCAAAAAACACTGTCACAGAGCATGCACAGAAGAAGGTAAGAGAAGCTTTCAGCTATTTAGTTTTCAAAATTTTAAACATAGACTACCTAATCTAACTTCTAATATAGTCATCTTAGCATGAATATGATGTATTTTCCTTAGAAGATTTTTCCTTAGGTATAATTTTTTGGAGGTCTCAATTTGTCTTTAAAAAGAGAATCAGATGCATTGACCACATGATTTCATTATTATTATAGGAACAATTACAGGGTGTTTAAAAAAAATACTAGGCAGCTTTGGAGGAGCCAGGTAGACAAGTTGTTTAAATGTCTTGCTCTCTACCTGGACTACTGCAAAATCAAAATGCTGATGGCCGCTTGATGAATTTGATCTCAAGGTTTCAAAACATCGCTGCCAGTGTCAGATCATTTTTTATTCCTTAGATAATAGCACTTCCCTTTGAAAATGTGCCAATGTATTCTTTAAAGAAAAATGCCTATCTGGCCTATAATTAGCTGTGGTCAAAGACAAAGATCAAAGGAGGGTATAGAATTGCTAAACTTTATTTCACTTATTAAATCATGCATGTGGTTCTAGTTTAGTTTCCCCGAGGTAGAATTAAGGGGTGCTGGATCTTCTTCTTGAAAGGTTAAAAAAAAAAAGAAAAGGGGATTCATTTCCGAAGCTAGAAGAAATGACCATTCAATCCCCATTTTCCCAAAAGTCTGGCTTTGAGGCAGCAGCTGAGGCTCCAGCAAAATCTACCTCATAGAACTCTGACATTCATATGGGTAAAGATAAAGAACAACCAATACACAAACCACAGAGGATGTGGCTACAAAAATTTATATATTTGTTGTTGGACCCTTACATTATCCAACTTAGAGACTTTTTTTACCCAGACCTCAAAGCTTCATGTTTTATTTGGACCTTGGAAAGTGTCTTTACATAATACGTACATTACCCGGAGCTCAGTCTATTCAGAGTTTTCATTTAGCCTTGAACATGCTGTTACTCTATCCTGCCGTATGCTGAGACCAGAAATATGCTTTTGGGCTTAATCCGTCTACAAGAATTTGTAGTATTAAACAACAACAAAAAAAACCCCAAAACCAAAATCCAGTTTCTCAGTAAGTATGCCTCTCTCTTAGAATTGGATCATACTACAGACAACTGGTCAGCCAAGCTAATTTCTAAAGTCTTATCACCTGCAATGAAAAAGAGGCCAGCATATTTGTGCAAAAGAATTCACGAAGTGAAACATAGTCCTCAAGCATTCAGTGGGCGTAAGACAAATTGTTAGTGCCGCATATATAGCAATGTCTTACAAACATGATGCATGCCAGAAATAAACAATATTGTCTCCGCATGATCAGCAAAATATGTCTAATTATCCGTCTCTACTCTGTTACATAGGATGTATAGAAATAAACAATACATATCCATGCCAAGATCACTTAAATTTAAATGAGATCTAATGTGAACTGAATACACACTCAGCATCATAAATAGCAGCCATCCATGACGGTGCCGAAAAAGTAGGCATTTGTGGGATGCCTAGAGGGATGTTAACTGGTAGATTTGGTACTTTGGGAAGATTCACATTGGGTAGGTTCACATTGGGTAGGTTACTGGTTAAACTCCTGTGGAAGAAACAGACAGAAAGAAAAAAAATACCATCACAGTGACAATGCAGATGTGGCAGAAGCACACAACAGTTGTAAATAAACTGGCTAAGTCCACAGCAAGACAACAGCGAACACTTAAGCGACATACTCCAGAAAGCAGTTTACAGACAGGAAGCTGTGACGTAGCTCAGAGAGAAATGACAAATGTTAATGGGGAAGAACAAAAATACCACATAACCAGAGAGTAATTGGAAAGTGTGGACACAATGATCACATCATTTACATGTCTTTGGGAGGGCCCTTCAGCTTCCAAACCCTTTACCAAAAGTCTTAGATTACAATCTTGAAGTTTATGGAATTCTTGGCATGATGGGGACTGGGGCTACGGTGAAACAGCTGGACTGATATAAATAGTAGAGGAGGGAGGAGGGAAAGAGGAGAGGAATAGGAGGAAAAGGAGGAGGAAGAGAGAGAGAAAGAGAGTGTGTGAGAGAGAGAGAGGTAGATCAATGGGTAGAATTTATTGTTTGATAGAAAGAGCAAGTGCTGGAGTTCTATGGCTACATGGCATACCAGGGTGAATTAATTAATAATGATTACAAATCTGAAAATAAGATAATAGAGAGGAACTTGGATGTATTCACCATTGAGAGATGATAAAATTTTAGGTCATGGACATGCTAACTAACCTGAGTTGGTCACTGCCCAATGGATATATGAATCAAAACATTACACTACCCCTCATAAATACATACAAATGATACGTATCCATCAAGAAACCTTTTGGAAGACAGAAATGCTGAATTGTTTTTATTTCTCTAGTTATTATTCAATTTGCTTAGTTTGATTGACAAATTGTTATTCCTAGAAGCTCATTTGTCAAGTCAGATATTAACTCAAGGCGGGAAGGGAAGCTCACTCATTAGAATGCACAATGACCAGGCACAGAAGCAGAACTCTTTCCAATGGCTACTTCTAAACACAAGAGTATGTGCAAAGGAGAAACAAAGCTGGTGGCAGAGGCCAAGATGTCACATGAGGAATAAAGCTCTGCTTTTATAGAACACTTAAAGAAAATATACACTTTCTATCTTAAACTAAGACTGGAGAAATGTTTACACACAGCAGACACCTCAAATTCAGGGGGAAAAAAAAGAAAAAAGAAACACTTCCTGCACACTTAGGACCCAAGGAAAATTTAAGACATGACTTCACATCATGGGAGCCATCTTGGAAACAGGACAGAGGCAGGAAAAGGAGATCTGAGCAGGGCGCTGGGCAGATTAAGGATATTCCTTTTCTTAATTTTGGTGACGGTTACAGGGGTGTGTTTGGAGCATAAAAATGAACCAAGCTGTGTATTTTTTTTTTTTACAAAAAAATTAAAGTCAGTTAACAATGAGTAAGACGTGAACAGTGTTACCTCTCCTCAGCTTTTGGTTATTTTGCTCAACTGATATGATGGAAGAAAGATGGATGGTTTTATGGGTGGGGGGAGAGAGCGGGAGAGAGAGAGAGAGAGAAGAGAGAGAGAGGAGAGGGAGAAAGAGAGGGAAGGAGAGGGAAAAGGAGAGGAAGGGGGAGAGAGAGAGAGAGAGAGAGAGAGAGAGAGAGAGAGAGAGAGAGAGAGAGAGAGAGAGAGAGAACACCTCTAAATCAAACCATCCATATCACTTAGGAGGGTCTGTGTCACACACTGCTCTAAACGCTGGCACTGCACATCTTGCAGTGGCATTTGAAGGGTGTTCTATCCAGCCAAAGTCACTGGCACAGTAGAGCCCAGCCTAGCTCTGACTCTGAGAGGAGCCTTCCCGTTTAAATGGAGTTGACAGCACTTTGGCAGAGGAGTTGAGGTTCTCTTTTTGGATCTTGTAGCAGAAGAGTAAGTTTTGCCAAAGTAGCTCTGCCTGGGGCAAGCTGTGTTTGACTAGCAGGACTCCTGGAAGGCTGGAGCCGCCTCTGGGTTTGATTGTGGGGCAGGCCTCCCATGAAGGCACAAGTGCTGGATCTTGTCAATAGCTTTGATTCCTATCCTACTCTTGCATAATGGCAGTAAAGCCCTGGCATGTACACACAAAAACCTAGAATGCAAACTTGCTCACCTAGTGTCTCTACAGGAGGGGAAATAGGTGTTTCAGAGATTTAGCCCATCTGTGTCACATTTTGTGAACGTCAATTATACATCACAACTTCGGATGGAAGGGTGCTTTTGTGAAAAAGGCCAAAAGAAGGCGAGATAAATACGACTATTAAGTGGGAAGTGGGGGTGGGGGGGAGAAAGGAACTTTTCCTTCCACGTGTCTCTGTTTAACTGGGAAATTTGCTTTTGAATTCAGTCCCTAGTGGTTCTCAGTCTTAAACACTGCCATGTAACAAATCCGTTGGCGATTTCCACTGAGACATGTGTAAGCCTATATAAGCAAATGTGATCATTAAATGATACACACACTGAATAATGATCAAGGAATTAGAAGATCCTAGAGATGGCAGGCTGGAAAGTTAAAATGTCAATTCTGAGCAGATTAAAAGTAGCTAGAAATGAATAACATACAAATGTATGCAAAAGTAACTCAACCTAAACATATTAGCGGATGGTGGGTACACAAATTAAAAGCGAGCTTCAATTTGTACACAAAAATAAAAAAGACTTATATTAATCAAATCAAAACATTATATTTTAGAAAATATGACATTTTAGCTAGACTACTGCGCTGGGTTCACATAGAAACATTTCCTTCATGGGTCAGATTATAATGGTCTACTGTTAAAATGATAAAATGTGCTTAATATTTCTGCTTTTAGCAAAATAATACAGTATAGTTCTAATGTTTCTAATATTGCATCAACATCAATAATCAAAAAGGCGAATTCCTAGCACAATGTTTTATTAATTAATATATGATCAAGGGGAATTTTCTACTAGTTCTGATGATCAGGCTCCTAAAATTACTCATTATTGTAACAAATTGCTATTTTTAAGGAGTACTCTAAACTATCTAAGAACAAATTAGTCTTGTCTTTCCTTCCTTCCTTCCTTCCTTCCTTCCTTCCTTCCTTCCTTCCTTCCTTCCTTCCTTCCTTCCTTCCTTCCTTTCCTTCCTTCCTTCCTTCCTTCCTTTTTGTACTGGTCTGGGGCTTGAACCCAGGGCTTAGACACTGTCTCTGAATCCTTTTGCTCAAGACTAGCACTCTACCACTTGAGTCACAGTTCTACTTTTAGCCTTTATGATACTTAATTGGAGGTAGGCGTTTCATGGGTTTTCTAACCATGATCTTCAGGTCTCAGCCTCCCGAGTAGCCAGGATTACAGGCATGAGCTACCAGAGTCCGGCTAATCATGCTTTTCTGAGAACCATAATTGTTAAGTCTCTAGCTAGAACAAGAAGAATGAATTACAATCCTAGCAACCGATACATAGACTATTTTGAGATTATTGCAAATGGAGAATGCAGTCAAGAATTCAGTGTACGTCCTACAAAATTAAGAAAAGTGAATGAAGGGGTGGGTTGGGAGGAATAGGTGAGAATGTTGAACGGGGTGATGCTGATCAAGAGGCATTGCGTTCATAAACTGCTTTGTTAAATGACAGCCCCCTTGTACAACTACTTAAAGTTAATAAAAAGAAAAAAAAGGATATTTTCTGGGTACTGGTGGCTTACACCTGCAATCTTAGCTACTCAGAAGGCTAAGCTTTGAGGATCCCAGTACAAAGCCATCCTTGGCAGGAAAGTATGCAAGACTCCTATCTCCAATTAACCACCTGTTCACATGCACACAAAAGCCAGAAGTGGCGCTGTGGCTCAAGTGGTAGAGTGTTAGCCTTGAGCAAAGAAGCTTAGAGGCAGTGCCCAGGCTCTGAGTTTAAGCCTCAGGACCAGCACCAAAAATAAAATAAATAAAAGTTAGTTTTTTTTCATTCATTTTGGCAACTCTGCTGAAAAAGGAGAACTCTCATTTAGTTTCTGTCTCTGGAGCTCTAGAGGAAAACAATTCTCATCTTCTTGCTCAGAGGATGAATGTTCCAGGTGAGTGTGTACATATGGTGTGTGTGTGTGTGTGTGTGTGTGTGTGTGTGTGTGCGCGCGCGCGCTATTATTTCCAGTGATAGCAATGATGGGAGGTGCAGTCAATCTTTAGGATTATGATTCCATGCAGAAAGAAGATGGTTATATCATCTCTCATAGAGGAGGGTATAGATGAAGGTAGACTTTAGATACAGAACATATTCTACTTCTATGAGCCATTTGTTGCATGAATCTATTAGTCCATCTTGTCTGCTCTTGGTACTGTGGACACTAAAGCTTCTTTTGGTATTTATTATTAGTTTTACCCCTCACTCTTGGGCATGGCACTCTTGGATATCTTCCCAGAATCTGGAGTGGTATTTCTCAACTTCTTATCCTTTATACTTCACCCAGTTTCCTTTCCATCGAAATTCAATACCACAGGGACAATGTTTACTTTTTTATGTAATGCAAGTAGACCTGTGCTTTTTACATATTAATATATTTGAAGAGTAAGATACACCTCCAATGCCAATTTTTGCCAGCTTGGGGGATCGGAAGCCCTCACTGACAATGAATCACCTACAGACAAAAGTTCTAAATGAAGCTGGATGCTGATGGCTCACACCTGTAATCCTAGCTACTCAGGAGGCTGAGATCTGGGGACTGAGATTCAAAGCCAGCCTGGGCAGGCTCTTATCTCCAATAAACCACCAGAAAACCAAAGTGGTGCTGTGGCTCAAGTGGTAGAACCCTAGCCTTGAGGTGAAGAGCTCAGGAACAGCACCCAGGCCCAGAGATCAAGTCCTAGTACAAAAAAAAAATAAAAATAAAAATAATTCTAGAACCTCCCAAACATCTATCTTGAGTTTATGTTCACTTTAGATTTCTTTTTTTTTTTTTGGGAGGGGGTCTGATTGTGAGGCCTGAACTCTGGGCCTGGGCGCTGTCCCTCAGCTCTTCAGCTCAAGGCTAGCGCTCTACCACTTGAGCCACAGTGCCACTTCTGGCTTTTTTTCTTATGTGGTGCTGAGGAATCGAACCCAGGGCCTCAGGCATGCAAGGCAAGTGCTCTACCACTGAGCCACCTTCCCAGCCCCAACTTATGTTCACTTTAAAAGCCCAACATGGCCCAAACTAAACATTAATCTTTTCTCCCCACATTTCTACTTCTGCTTTTGCTCTTTCCTAGCAACTCTACTCCTTTTCAAGTCTTACTCGTAGAGCTATTTCCTACTTTTATTTTATTTTTTACCATGTGCATTGTATTTGTGCATGTATACACTGGTAAGTATTTAAAATCATTCTCCTTATGTTGCTTGAATTCAACTAGGTTTAAATCCCTGATTAGGGGAATGTGCCTTTTTCTCTTTCCAATCCCTATTACTATTTGACTGTATTCTTACACTCTTTAGTCTGTATCAGCTCCATAATAAATATATCAAACAATCAGTGAGTATTTGCTGGGTGTGGGTTATGTGCCATGTCCTGTTGTGTGCTTGGTATTAGGGAGAGAGCGATGCTCAACCGTGTAGATGTGTATATATGAAGCAAGTATTGGAAGGGCTCTTATTTTATAAAGGAACATTCTGAGCCCCGGGAGGGTAAACTAAAGGAAGATCAAGGTCATCCAGTAAGTCGTTAGACATCTTCAGAACTTCTGACCCAGGTCTAATACCTATATATTCACCTACATACTGATAACAGCTCTGGTCTAGTGTTTATTACCATTAATTTATTGACATCTTTAGAAATTTGAACAAGGACATTATTTTTTAAAAATACCTTTCATATATACTTCTCAAGCAGAGAGGAAGAAAGTGTATTTGACAAGTGAGGAATGCAAATTTTACAGTAGGTATATGTCAAGAAGCAGCATTTGGTTTTTCCATTCAAAGATACCCTAATTAGAATTGGGCAACCATGAAATCAAGAAATCCCTGTGGCTGGAGAAGGTCAAATCCAGATAGATGACCATTCCATCAGGAAAAGGGCGCTGGCAAAGGTGGGTAAGGCTAAACCTGGAAAGACTTTAGAGTGGATGCTGTGTAGGTTTCCTTCCACCTTGAAGGCCACCATAACTTATTAACCATGTGCCAGCATGAAAGAGCTACTGGAAATATGAACCATCTGCTTGTTGGGGCCAAAAATTCACAATGAGGAATTGTAAACCATCTCTCTATCCATAGGTGATAGTTCTATGACATAACCTGATGAATACTCAAGAGAAGACAATAGGATATAAAGTTTCATTGGCAATCTGGACCTGCCTGGGAGAGCCTACCTCTAGCCATTGTTGGAAGTTATTGAATGACATTTTCCAGCAATGCATAGAGAATCCAAACACAACTCCATCTGCTTTATTAGAAACGGATTTGTAGCCTCTCTTTTTCTCTCCTCACAAAGATGGAAGCTGTCTTTCAAAAGAAAGCTAGCCATAGGACTTTCTCCTAGCAAGTAACTTCAGTTGAATAAAGCCCAAATAATTATAGCTTTATTTTCTTTTTTTATAGGGCCTGAATGAAATAAAGAAACTTGAAGGATAAGCAATATTTTCAGTTGTTTTAACAAACTCAACTTATGTTTAACATTCTTCACACCATTTATTTATTTATTTTGCTTTTCTAGTTTTAATATTTTTTGTGTGCCAATCCCGGGGCTTAAACTCAGGGTCTGGGCACTGTCCCTGAGCATTTTTGCTTAAGGCTAGTACTACTAGTTGGACCACAGCTTCATTTCTGACATTTGGTGATTAATTGCAGATAAGATTCTCACAGGCTTTCCTACCTGGTCTGACTTTGAACTGTGATTCTCAGATTTCAGCCTCCTGAGTGGCTAGGATTACAGGCATGAGCCACACTGGTAACCTGGCTATTTTTTAAACTTAAAAAATATCTTTAAGAGTTTTAAAGAGTTATTAAAAGTTTCAATTCAACATGTCCATTTATGATTACAGTGCATCTTGATTAATGTTACCCCTTCCTTTTTAATTTTTTTTTACATCAGTTATTTTGAAGTAGAATCTACAATATATTTCTCATTTTATCTATAACCAATGTAGTTGTTTGAGAGCAAGGTTACAGTGCAGAGCTATGTGTGTGTGTGTGTGTCTACTGGAGGATCATGTGGGAAAAATTGTAAAGACAGTAAACAAAGTTTATTTTGGAGTGATCCTGATGAAAGGATTAAAAAAAAGATCATTCTTCACATGGACAAAAATAAAAAAAAGGACAAATCTTTGCTTCTTTATTAGCCCTCTTACAAGTGGTCAGATATAAATTCATACTTTTGTTTCCTTCATTTGGTAGGAGGAATGGAGAGATGCTGTCTTCTCAACACAAAGCATGCTCTAGTGCTGCTCTATCCTCGGTTCTATGCCATTCTTCAGTGCTTTCTATGGCATCTGCCCACCGTCTACAAATCAGCTAGTGAAATGTGTGTAGTCTAAAAGAATTTTATTTTAGCTGGCCCTTTCAAATATCTTCACACAAACCTCTGAAAGGCATATACTGTTCATGAATGTTCATGAATACTCTTTAGCCCAAAGCACAGTGTTGGATAACAAAAAATTATTTAAACCCAGAGGCACATGTATGCTCACGTGCGTGCATGCCTGCACACACGCATGCACGTGCACACACACACACACACACACACACACACACACACACACACACACACACACCCTCTAACTGTAGTTGCAGGTGATTATTCACAATTATAACTCCTTTATAAAATTTAAATTCCTAATGGTCAAGTTCAATTTCCTTTCATCAGGTAAAAAAATCCCCAACAAAACATTTCCAGACTAAGACTTCCAACTCTATAAAATGATCTTGATTCTATCTTTACTTCAGATAGTACTAAGACTTTTAAAGGTTTCCAAAGGAATAGCAGTCATATGTTTGGCTTCTGAAACATTTAACAGATTATAAAATGACTTCAGTGACACCATCACAGAGTTCATGACAGTTCCCAGATCTTGGGTAGGAATCTTGTGAAATCTCAGTCTTGTGGATGAGAAAACGTGCTCATAGAGGGTCAAGCTCTTTCTTTTTGGCGAGGGAATGCAAGACAAGACCCCAGATCTGGGGCTTTTTAGGAAATAGTGAAGGGTACTGACCACCTGTGTCCATGAGTGTTGGTGGGAATACCTTCCATATTTACATCCACGCAAGTTATTGCTATTTCACAGCCAATGCTATTTTGAAAATGTGAACATTACCCATTTAAGTCTTTTCCTTTCTACAGCTATTCTTCAATGTACCACTGTCTTGATTATAGGGAGCGGTTAAAAATAAGAAGTTCACCATTAATGCTTTACCATAAAGGGACATATTAAAGTGAACAGGAACATATTAAGAGACCACTATAAAACTCAAAAATAACAAGCTAAAATTTAAGCTTCTTAGAACTAGCTGATGAAGAACTATGACCTATTACTGTGGGATCACAGGGCAAGTCAAAACCTTCTTTCACGGCTCAGACACGGAAGGGGGAGAGAAAGCTGTGAGAGTCATATACAGTGTGATATTTGAGGGAGGGGCTCCATTCAGAAATTACTACAAGTAAGGTAGAAGTCAAGACTCCCAAATCGAAGAAAAGCCTCTTGAATATTAGTTTTGAAGTTCCTAAAAGTTACCAATACATAACCCCCATTTTGCTTCATATGAGCTACTATATTCCAAAGTTGTAAAGAGCTAGAGAGAATAAAATGATTTTTTTAGAGACAAAAAAATCCCATAATCTAACAGGTCAAAGCCAATAACAGCCCTTACAAGAGCTTTTCAAAATATACTACAAAACTCTCTCCATAGGGGAGTGTCTAGTTTTCCAAACAGGGACCTTCTGGCATATTCATACACAGACCTCTTCATTCCTGGGGAATGGAGGTTGCACTGAATCTATCATTTTCTTGCAATGGTCCTAAAATTTGCCTAGCAGTTGTGGAAATTAGCAAAATCACAACACACAGATTTATATTGTGCATTGTCCTTCTTAAATGTACTTGGCTATAGAATCCTTTTTTTTTTTTTTCTTTTGGAGGCATGTTTCAAATATCCAGGCCAGAGAACAGCAAACTATGTCTTTTATAAAGTTTTATTGGAGCGCAACCCCTCAGTTGTGTAAACATTATTTATGACTATTTTAATGCTAGCAAAAATTGAGTAGGTGACAGAGATCTCCAGCTTTTTACAGAAAAGTTTGCTACTCTCACGTTTCTCCTCAGAACCCTATGGGACACATTTCTGGAAATATTAATTCCTTGAGATAATACCAGTTGAGTAAGATGCATTGTATAAACATCACAGCTGAGTTTATATCCCTTCTTTTTTTTTTTTTTTTTTTTTTGGTCGGTCATGAGACTTGAACTCTGGGCTTGGGCGCTGACCCTGAGCTCTTCAGCTCAAGGTGAATGCTCTGCCGCTTGAGCCACAGTGCCACTTCCAGTTTTCTAGTGGTTTATTGGAGATAAGAATCTCACGAACTTTCCTGCCTGGGCTGGCTTTGAACCATTATCCTCAGATCTCAGCCTCCTGAGTAGCTAGGATTACAGGCATGAGCCACCGGTGCCTGGCTATATCTCTTAATTCTTCTTTACACGGTGCAATAAAGCAGATTTTCACTTCATAAAACATTTTTCCACTTCTTCCCTCCCAACTTCACTCAGACAAGGAAGCTATGAGCACTATTAGTAGGAAATATGTATGGAATTGTTGGCTGTCCGTACTAACAATGAAAGTCATGTGACACCCTTAATCCATTTCTGAATGACTCTTGAGTATTTGTACCCAAACTCCGATGGTATCAAAAGAGGTTTCCTTACTTGACTGGTTCCCATGACTCCCGCTCAAAGCCCCTGTGGATGGATTGTGCAATTGAGGACTCCATCAGATCCACATATCTAACAACAAGGGGGGCAAACAGGTCCTGCAGGTGTTTGTGAAATTTTCCATTGCACAAATTATCTAGAACAGATAAGCAAAACATGGTAAGAACCCACAGTTGCTTTCCCGGAGTAAAGCATAACAAGCAGACAATTGTCTTCTATATGAAATACCCTGCTTTGAAGGAAGACAAAAACAAAACAAAAAAAGAACATGAGAACATGATCAGTATCAAAGTTCATGCTTAAATCTGTTTGGAATGAAAATGGTATTGAAAAAACAACAACCCACTTTACCCTCTTCTAAAAAGACCTTCTCCCCACTAAGTTACCAGGAAGAGAGAACATTCTTTGCCCCTTCCCTATTTCCCCTCTTCCACCTCCCTCCTTGGAATGGAGATCTACTTTTTTATGACTGTTGCTGGAAGACACTTGGAAATAGTTCCAGTATCTTTTAGCTTGAAATGTGTTTCTCATCTAAAAATCATCTCTTGATTGAAAATTGTAAAACTGTGAAGAGGTTAAGTTCATTCATTTGTGTGAAAGCAAACAAAACCCAGTAAGATGGTTTCTCATCTAGAAAACATCTTTTGATAACAATAGCAAAACAGGAAGAGCTTTCTTTCAGTTCCTTCATCTGAAAGCAAATGAACCACAGGAATGGCTGCTCCCTATCATATTACTCTTGGGTTCTTCTGCTATGACTGTCTTCCTGCAGAAAGACATTTTAGGGAAGAAAGAGAATGCCCACCAGCTATAAGGTGTGTGTGTGTGTGTGTGTGTGTGTGTGTGTGTGTTCATAATAATAAAACTATAAAGCAGTATCCAACCTGCAGCCTATGTGAAAGAAAGATGTCACCGAAACCTGCATGTCTGCAGGTTGTTTGGGAAAGTCAAATAGTCAAGGGTGATACATACAGTCGGTACGGAGAAAGTCATTCAGCAGCTGAAACAGTGGGAAACTGTCCCATGTGTCGGGGGGTTGCACCTCTAACGCCGCATCCATATCCACAGCAAAGAGTGACAGAAATGTCTCCGCGTGCTCCACCATTAAGTCTGACCACCATGCAAAGGCCTTTGAAATTTGGCAGAAAAACAATAGACAGAGAGGTGATGAGCATCTCCTTCAGACACAGGTGTGCACTCCAGCCCTAACTGTTCAAGACTGACTGTGCATCCAGCAGGGATCACTTTATTGTAAAGAGAACAGCATTTTGGATACAAATGACCACTCAAGTGTCCAGGCCTGCCGTAAGAGAGCCTTTTGCCTGACCTGTCGGTCAAAGGACACAGCTGCAGGAACGACAGACATGGGACTTCTGTTCAATTTACAATAACTCAGTAGGTTTGAGTCATGCTCTATAAAACTATTGTTGGCTAGGTCTTGCGCTAAGGTATTAGAATTGGGGAGTTTCTTCACTGTGTTTATGGGTTTTCTGCTGGTCTAACTTGAAAATTGGCAATGATTATTCATTGACATCTACATATCTGGGTCTTAATTGTCTATAGTCTGATACAAACTTCCCTACACATGGGAAATGTTAATTCTATGCCATACTAAGTCCTAGGGAACTACTATCATAATTGTTACAGAACTTTTGAGTCAAAATCTCTTTCAGCGGGGAGCCTTTGGTTTTGTATCCAGTCTGGAGGAGAGATCAGGCTTTGGCTAGGAAACACAGAGTAAAGTCAGGACTTACTTTGCTGGAAAGTTGGACACATATGTACATTGAAAACCAAAAAATATCAGTGAAGTAACTCATTTGCATGCACATGGGCCCTTGGAAATCACTGTGCAGGGTCTCGGAGGGCGTCATTCACATCAGCCTGGGCTGGATGTGAATGCAATTCAAAGGCATGCATGCATGTTGACTAATCATTTCTGGCAGGGAGCATGCAGAATGAGTGGTGGTGTCAACAGGCCCTGTTTTGCTGATTTCAAAGAGAGCAGAAAAACAAAAACAAATTGCCAGGCTCTTGTTCCCCCTCTCCACCCAGTGCCATAAAGTATTTATACTAGAAACACTTTCCAGAGCATTCACCACAGGGCAGGGGGGAAAAAAACAGGAAAAGATGGGAAGGTGTTTGGAAACATGAAACATGATTATGGAAAGATTTCCATAAATGAAAGGGTTTGTTCAATGGCCAAGCTCTTCTGTGCTCTATTAGTTATTGGAAGGATATTTTAACAGCCACTAGGAGGCAGAATAGGGCTCTGCCTTTCTTCTTTCATGAGATTTTACTTTACTTACTTCTCCTTTATCAACATGTGGCTGGTTTGCAAATTAAATGGAAAAAATCAAGTCATGGACCATTCTGCAAGGCTGACTTGGCTGGAAATAGACACCTGCGGTTTCCATTTTAATGTACAGTAAAACCTCACGGATTCAGAGTAACTGGAGAGGGGAAATGCTAGTCTGAAAGCAAAAAGCCCCGAATTGTTGGGGGAGAGGGGACTACTTTTGAACTCAACCTGTAATTGGGCACAAAAGTAAGTGGTATCCATGGTTTATCATATGAATATATTGTAGATGTGCAAAGTTCTTCCCAATTTCCAAATAATGGTAGGTAAGTTGGCCTATAAATTGAAGTTGGCCTGTAACTTTAATTTTCCAATTCGTGGGATATATAAAAAGCACAGGGTATTCCTAACTTGTAAGAAGAGCCTAGAATTACTTAGAGTTCATTGAGATTGAGTCGAAGATTTTATTTAAGATACGTTCAAAGAGCCACATATGCCATTGAGTTGTCACAGATTCCAAGGATCTGGGTCTGAACTGATGAGGTTTTATTGTAGCTTTACCACCTGACCTTGCAAGCCCTGGAGTTTAGGACTTGATCCTCCGACTAGCTAGTTAAATCCAGCAGAGGAAGAATGTTCCTATCTCCCCACCACCCACCTCCCTTGCCCCAAGCCTTCCCAGTCCTCCATCTTCACAGCAGATTATCTAAACACTGGACTTCCTGAGACATATTCTCTCCGGTTCTCCTGCACAATGGGCTGATCCATTGTATTTGTAAAATTCATACCAAATGCTGGCTAGCACTTATTCTTTAAGTGAGTTGATCTAACTTTACATCTTCAGTGTGAGTCTAAAGAATCAGGTTCTGGGAGACTGCTGCTTTCCCAGACACAATTTTCTTCTAGGCGGACAAGAAAAAAAATAAAACAAAAACAAAATAGCAAACAAGCCCTCAAACCACTCATACATGCTTGAGGTTAAAAAAAATTCTTAACCCAATTTCATATGTGTTTTTTTTTGTTTTTGTTTTAAATAACAAAGTGCAAACCAGATACCATGAGAAACATCACATCTATGATCTAGAAAGAACTTCGGCGCTTACAGTTGTGTATATTCACGAGCAAGGATCTACTGTATCCTGTAACAATAACTATATTGATTGGTAGGCCTGCAAAGAACAATGTGTGCTGAAGGATGAAATCACCACGTAAGAGGGTAGAGGAATTCAGGATGCTAATGAGCAAGAAAGTTTAAATTTGGGACTTGGAGAAGAAGCCAAAAAACCAGAGCGATGCCAGAAGATCCAAGGTAATTCTTTTCAAAACTTCTAATCAAAACCAGGTCTTTGAGGAGATTAATATTCCAGCAAGCAATAACCAAAAAGTTGAAATATAATTCCTATTAAATGAACAAAGTCTGTCTGTATATGTATATGTACATGTATACATATACATGTACATATTCATATTATGCTCCAACAGGTGAATGCTGTCTCTTCAGTGAGCTAACCCCTATTGTTTGTGAGCAGCTAAATTCTTAATACATCTTTTCCAAAGACAATAAAGAGTTGCACATTCACTTCTGAATACTTACCCATTGCTTTTCATTATTCAGGGACAAAGCTGGGCACTTGAGGGGTACAGTTCACCACATCAAACGCACTGTAGTTTTGCACACAAACTAACATGTATATATGTACCCTCTGTGTGCCACAATACATATATACATATACATACGTATACATAGAGAGAGATTGGGAAGGGAAAGTACAATAATCTGTGGGGATGTGGGCCTGACCAGGTTCTTGTTCTGAAAACAAAACTGAGTGGCATGTAAGGGATAAATGTGACAATTGTTATGATTTGCTAGGTGTGTATAGGACAGGATGCTCTCTCAGTTAATGAGAAATGGTTTCCTCCTTTTAGGACATTGAACTTCTTTATACTGGAATTTAAAATGGCTTTAAATGTTGTTTGTTTTTGGGGGGCCAGGGTAAAGGTGTGTGTTCCTCTCAGTTTCATTTGTGTGATCACACCAAACAACATGGCCACACAGTCAGTCAAGACCCATGCGTGGGATTTAGAGATTTTTTTTAGATTTTAGTGAGTACTTGGAAAATATGGAAGTGAGGACACACTTGTCCATTCTTTTGGGAAGGAAAACACTATGCATAGTGTGCTAGGACAAATGCAACTCCCTTATACTCTACCCCAGTCACTCTGACCTGGGATGTACACTGCGGTCACCTGAGCATCTTTTAAAAGTGGCCAAGGCTGAGCAGCTACCTAAAAGATAAGCTTGTGGAGTTAGGAGGTGAGCTCTGGAAATCTAAATTTTCCTTTGGCAATACTGGGATTTGAACTTAAGGATCTGTACTTGCCAGGCAATTGCTCTACTTAGCCATGCCTCTAGTCCTATTTGCTCTGGTTATTTTTGAGATAGGGTCTTGCTTTCAACTTGGGCCAGGCTGGACAGTGATTCTCCTATTTATGCTTCTTGCTATTGGATGGTTGACTGGAAATCCACACTGCAAAGAGCCATCCAGGTGAGTTTAATCAGACCCCTCTCCTTCCAACACATCCTCATTCACTTACGACAAGCGTTGTCGTGTTTACTATGCATGAGGCACACTATCAGACGTTCTAAGCCAACTACCACCATCCAACTATTACCTGCAATTCACAGGATAAGAGAAGGTAACTAAATAGGCCAAGCTCACAAAATAAGGAAGAACAAAGCTAGAATTAAAATCCAGGCTTTTATGTCGCAGAGCTGAAGCTGCTGTCACTCTTCATTGTATCACTTGAAGGCTCACTTGGATCTCATGTCCTCCAAAAGTACTGAGGGACTCGCCTCAGTGTTCAGTAGACAGGAGATGCTTAAAGGTAGCTATTGATTAAGTAAATAAGGTTTATTTTATTTATTTTGGCAGTATGTGAGCTTGAACTCAGGGCCTTGTGCTTTCTAGATAAACACTCTACTAATTAAGTCATATATCCAGCCATTAAGTAATAGGATTTTATGGTGAAGTGAAATGACTAACTTGGGAAATAATCCTGTACATCTATTTAGAAGAAAATTTGGCCGGGGGAACTCCAAAGTAGGCTTAGGTTGTCATTTTTAACCTTGCAAGATGTAGTAAGAACAGCAATGAAGTCTATCTTATTTGTTGATCCTGAATGACTTCTGAATAGGTGTGTAAGATTAGAATATTTTATGGTAATGATTACCCGGCAAGTTTATAGTGTAGATTAGCAACATGTAGAAGTATTTTTTGTTTGTTTGTTTTTGGAAAAGCAAGGGATGCCTTTTTTTTTTTTTTTGTCGGTCATGGGGCCTAAACTCTGGGCCTGGACGTTGTCCCTCAGCTCTTCAGCTCAAGGCGAGTGCTCTACCACTTGAGCCACAGCACCACTTCCAGCTTTTTCTGCTTATGTGGTGCTGCAGAATCGAACCCAGGGCCTCATGCATGCAAGTCAAGCACTCTACCACTGAGCCAACTTCCCAGCCCATGGATGCCATCTTTAGAAAGTGTGTATGTCCAAGGTATATGAATAGGCTTCCCTGCGGTGCCTTTTATGAGTGACTTAGTAAAGAAAATACGCATCCTTTCTTAGCAAGTAGTGGCCTCAGAAAAATGATTTGGTTGCCAAGGAAGGATAGTTCTCATTTTTGTTCTGGTACATTTGCTTCAATTTACAACGGTGACTTGGAATACCCATCTTCTCTGTACCCATTACCTATATCTTCTCAAACCTACTCCCTCTGGGGAAGGCAGGCTAGAGCCCCATCAAGTCTCTGGAGATGAGTCTGAAGATACCCAGAAGGAATTCCCTTATCACCATCTGATCCTCAAATACCCCAATCTAAAAAGATGGGGAAAATCGCTAGTTTCATGTGTTTGGAAGTTAGTCCTGGGTTTGTATGGTCAGAGGGCATTGCTTGGCTCCCTCTCCCCCTCCAGCCATGCACCACTGCTACTGATCCCTACTTGAGGGGTCTTCATCCTGGCCTCAGAGGGGTCTGTGGGGGAAGTCAGGATACTTCAGCACTCTCTCTATATATAAATACTGTATATATGATTCACATACAGACAGCTGTAGAGGAAGATTAGTATCACTCCAACGAGCTACTGGTTACTACGCTTGGTACTCATCTGCTGTAATAAAGGCTAAGTATGGACGGACATAGGAAACTGCAACAGGCTAGGGACAGGATCAAGGCAGGTAGGAGGCGTGTGTTGGGATGTAACCGCAGTTGTTGTCATCAGTCGCTTCATGCACGCACAAGAGAATCATCCCACATTTACCCTGCCGTGGAGGGCCACCCATGTCACAAGCAGTCCACTGGAAGTTGCTGTTACATTCCTTGGGTCAGTGTTAGAAAGCAGGAGCACCAGGAAAAGTCCCATTAGAAGACATGGTATTGGAAGGGCATGCACAGAGTATGACAGCAGGTGGCTGGTTCATTCGGTTTAATCACATACCTCTTTCCCCTGCCACGATCAGCCAAGATTGAATGGAACAGTAGAGAAACAGGGAGGAAATTTAAATATGCAATCAGGCATCAGGGATCGCTGGATGTGTGGGATATTATATAGTATTTTACTATCCTGTCAATTTTCACTTAGTAAGGGGAATGATCATTTTATGTACTTGAAAATTACTTTTATGGAAGACCTTTTCTCCAACCCCCACTCTACTATAAATCTGACTGGAGAAGAAGAGGAATTAATGTTTTCACAAAGGTTATTTTAAGAGATACGATTTTAAAGCTCACTTTTGAAATGGTTTAACCGTTTAACATCATAATCTTTCCTTGGAAAGGGTTGAGTTTATTTAAGTCCTTATAGGTTTGGGATTTTGTTGGTCATGAGATCACTTGGGTCATAATTATTGAAATCAGCATATTAATACTGGTTTGGAAAAAAAGAAAGCTGTATTTATTTAGATGTATGTTTTAGAGATTTGACAAAATAATATGTTTCTGTCACCAAGTTCAGCAACCCAGGCAATCTAAGGTTAAGAAGAAGAAAGAAGAAAGAGAGTAGAGAGAAAAAAGAAACAAGAAGGAAAAAGGAAAAGGAGAAAGAAGAAAGAAGAAGAAGAAAAGAAGGAGGAGGAGAAGAAGTAGAAGAGGAAGAACAAGAAGAAGGAGGAGGAGGAGGAAGAGGAGGAAGAAGAAGAGAAACTCTAGCACAGAGATAGATTCAAGTAGATGACCCTCAATTCACATATCAAAGAATTAATCAAAACAACAGTGGTAGCAACAAAAAGAACCACAAAAGACCATATAAATAAAAAATACATTCTGAATGTTCTGGACAACAGTTCTCAGGTGTTGCTTAATTCATTAACTTTATAAGTGTACTCACCTGATTTGTTTGTTGCTAGAAAGAGCTAAAAACTTAGGCTGAAATGTACAACATACAAGCATTCTTTGGTTGTTTAAAACAATGTTTCAAAGACTTCTTCTGAAACTTCCACTTTCATTCACTTTGCCAGCCCAGTTAAAAGGAAATGGTGTCAAGGCATCTTATTCATAACCAGGTTGTTAGAGTCAGCTCTGACATTTCAGCTAAGGGACACGGAGCAATATTTCGCACTCAGCCTCCTCACCTCTGCGTGGTGCTCCTCATTTTGCTGAAGAACTTCAATGACTAGTTCAGCAAGACGTATTGTGTCTTCGAGCTTTTTGGCAGGAGTGATTAATCGGCCTACATTTTCTGGAGTACAAGAATTGGTGTTAAAATTCAGTGGCAAGTAGCAAGCTAGTTTTGTGGCCATTAGAACTAGTGGGTAAGAAATTCTGAATAGTTACCAATTTAAAAAAAGTTTCATGCAAATGTTAAATGCCATGTAATTAGTAGTATGCAAACCATAAAGCCATTTTATTGTTCTTATCACCATCATGATAATACATAGTAGAAAAAAAAAGCAGTGCTCCAGCTTCAAATTTGCACAGATGCTAATACAAAGTCTATGACAGCCCACTGCAAACGTAGTGACATTTTATACACACGTTCTTTAAAGACAGCATGAATGGACTATCATCTATCACTCACTAGACTGTGTCTGGGCTACCTGGAATGGGGGAGACATAACCGCAGCTTAATCTACATTTTGGTACATTTGTTTTGTAGATGGGCTACTAAACATTCACTACCACTACTATTCTGTAACAGATCTATCTGCTGCTTAACAGGTAGTAAAATGACTGTCATGATTAACAGGTAGTAAAATGACTAGCATAAAAATGCCTACGCAAAGGTCTGTTTGAATGTTTCAAATTATCCCGGGAAGGGATTGAAAAACTCAGACATCCCTGGACCATTGTGGAGAATTATTTAAAAGGGTGCTGAGAATAGACTATGACATGAGCTGGTGGTAACTTGTGGGATGTAACTGGAATTTCATCAGGGAAATAACAACTAGAGACATATTTTGTTGTTTTGATTGTTGTCTTTCGTTTCTCTTGAGTTGTCAGGGTTGTGTTTTTACCCAGCTCAAGGAGAATATAGTCCCTAGCCTCTGTAGAACCCTTTGCAGAGCCCAATCATGGATGTCCAGCAGTGTCATTATGCTGACAAAAAGCTACAAATCATTATCGTTGGGGAAAAATAATATTGAAATAAAAGGTTTTTCTCTTAGCCAGTGAGTGAGCTTCAGCTCAATGATTCTGAACTCACTGGGAATTTGTATTCCGTGCTTGGTTCCCTTCAGATTTGGAAGTGTTGGAATTATTTGGAGTGTGTGTGTGTTTAATTGATTTAGTACAACTCCATGCTTGGTAGGTATTTCTTCAAAAGGGCTAGTGAAACTGGTTTTCCTTTTGTTAAGTTCTTTGGCATCAAGTTCTTTTCTAGAGAGAAGTTTCTTAGTACTTTATAGGAAGTTTTTGTGTTGTTTTTGTACGTTTTTGTATTGTATTGTCCTGTTGTGTTGTATTATATGTTGGTGAGAGGAATTTCAAATAAAATCTTTGGAGATGAATATTTTTTAAGGCTTCTTATTTTCACTTTGTGTACTTCTGAGGTAGGTGATGAGCACATCAGGTTATTAGTAATTTAGTATTTAGTAATGAACATTAATTTGGTGAAACGCTATGTAGAAAAAATGCTCCAGCCAATAGAAGCTAAAGCTGATGAATAGGGTGGGATAAGATGTTGAAAATTTCAGTCTAAGTAGGCCTAGTGGCTGATATGAAATGGTCTCTCAGGATTCAGGTCAATGAAATCTCCAAGGAGAAATGGGTCTAGATCTGTCTGGAGCATGCTGGTGGGCATTGTGGGCAGCATAAATACAGGGATGAAGTCAACAAGCACCAACACCTAGTAAAAAGACATGGGAAGGTAGGAGCTAAGAGCTCACTGCCTGGTCCAGAGAAAAAATACTTGGATAGGATGAACCAATGCCAAGGCTGACTTCTGCGCTTTAAGGGAAACTGATCTATTTATGATTTCTTAAGTAGACTTATTGTAATTTCATCAATAAACTTTCAGGCATTTCTACAAACATACTGTGTATATATGCTTGGGTAATGTGTGTAGAGTGAGGTATTTGCATTTTGATAGTAAATATGCATAGGCTACTATTTTTATTTTATTCACATTTACACATCAATTTGCAAACTCCTCATCCTATACTTATTACCCATTTGACACATACATCCACACCCACACACACATCACACACTTACATACATTTGTCTAGTAACCAGACAAGCCTGCACATTAATACAAATTTGCAGGAAATCCCACTTGGGGCACATCTTTGAAATTTCTCACTTCAAAAACAGTGACCGTTGCCCTTTTGAATAGAGTGTTCACCAGGCTAGGGGCAGTCTTGGTGGTACAAGGCATACGAGAGAACAATGAAATAATTCCCACCAGCGTTTTCATACACATTCGTTAAAAAAAATGTGAATGATTTTTCGGTTTGGAGAAATCCAAGATACCCAAGCTGGGACCACCTGAAGATTTGTTTTAATACACAGTCCTCTTAGATTGACTACAATCTATATCAATAGATACACATAACGTGTGCATGTACACATAATCAGCTTATGAGTATGTGTAAATGTACACATATATGTGTATGCCTGATGTGTGTATATATATACAGACAGTATGTTTAATAAAACCTTTTGCAATTTGACTTTAACACACAACCGTTAAAGTAAGTGGGTTAAGGATACTTTAATCTAGAATGCTTGATCTGCCAATTAACCCAGGTAGCCAGACTTTCATTTATTATTAATTAGTTGTGATTTCATTATCTGTAGATCAAGCCACTTCATGGAGACACAACACTATCTTCCTGTTCATTTGGCTAGCTGATTTACTAGTGAAATGGCAAAAAAAAAACCCCACACCATGTACTAGATGTGATTTCTCTAAAATGTTGTCTTTAAAGAAAATATTGTGCAAAATCCTTCAGCACTTCCTCCATCCCCCCCCCCCACATACAAGAGGTCAAGGAGAAGTTTGTGCTTAGAAATGATTTTTTTTGTCACTTCTGCTGTCTTGAAATGTACTGCAATATTCCTATCCCCCAATCTTGCACTTGCTGGAGCACTGATGAGAAGAAACTAAAAATACAGTTTACTTAGAAAACATTTCATACAACAGAATCGAAGCTCATAACATAGAAAAAATTCTCATGCAAAATGTTATGCAACAACAATGTTATTTTGTGCTGACATTGAGATTTGAAAATGTTGCATATGTCAGACATAGCTAGACAAAAAAAAATATGGACATTTGAAAATAAATGCTCTCTTTTGAGTATCTTGAAACCTCTAGGATTTAAACTTGAGAGCCTGAGCCTCAGCTGATTATGAACCGCAACAAAATTTCAAGAAGGAAAGTGGACAGAAAAGCCAACTAAACTAGGAAGCTACCAAGTAAAGGAATGATAGAGGTTTACAATACTTGATCTTGGCCTAGTCATGATTTTGAACCTCTGATATAACATGCTGGTCTGCGTTTGGGTGAGTAGAGGAGGCCCAGCAGGTGGCCAGGAAGCTGCCCAGGTAGGTGAAGAGAGTTAAAAAAAAAAAAAGTAAAGAGACAAAGTGACTTTAACAAAGAGTGACAAGATGACAAATTCTGAAAAGAACAACCAAACAAGCAAAAATGATAAAACACAAAGGGAGAGCTGCTGTTTTCTTGGTGTTCCTTCAACATTATAGAGGTATGACATGATTTGACAAGGACTCTAACCAGCATCTCCAATACTAACCCTGTCCAGACACTCAGAAGCTGAATAAAAATACTCTGTGCTCTCTCTGGATGGATATATGTGAATGACGGAGTCAGCATCACTGACCCAAAGATGCGCTTTTATACCATGCAGAACAACTACATGTTAATACCTGCTCTGCCTTTCACATAACCAGAAACAGGATGGCATGCAGTCACAGCTGAAAGTGTGGGTTTCCTCCACAAACCAGTTGCTTTCCCAGGTAATCTTACACCTAATATTTAGCCCTCTGCATTCTTTTTTTTTTTTTTTTTTGGTCAGTTGAGGGGCTTGAACTCTGGGCGTGGGCGCTATCCCTGTGCTCTTCAGCTCAAGGCGAGTGCTCTACCACTTGAGCCATAGCTCCACTTCTAGTTTTCTAGTGGTTTATTAGAGATAAGAGTCTCATGGACTTTCCTACTTGGGCTGGCTTTGAACCATGATCCTCAGATCTCAGCCTCCTGAGTAGCTAGGATTACAGGAGTGAGCCACTGGCACCTGGCTGCATTCTTTTCTTTTTAAATAAGTTTTTTTTAAATTGTGAAAGTACTGTACAGAGGGGTTACAAGCACATGAGCAAGGTAATGAGTACATTTGTATTCTTTTTTTCAGTGCCGAAGTTTGAACTCAGGGCCTGGATTCTCTATCCCTTAGCTTTTTTGCTCAAGGCTGATGTTCTACACTTAAGCCACAGCTCCATTTCTGGCTTTTTTGGGTGGTTAACTGGAGGAGAAAAGCATCTCAAGGATTTTCCTGCTTGACTTGGCTTCAAAGATCCTCAGCTCCTAGCCTCCGGAGTAATTAGGAGTACAGGTGTGAGCCAATGGCAACAAGCTTCCTTCATTCTTTTTTGTTTTGTTTCGTTTTTTTTTTTTTTTGGTTGGTTGTAGGGCTTGGACTCTGGGCCTGAGCGCTGTCCCTCAGCTCTTCAGCTCAAGGCTAGCACTCTACCACTTGAGCCACAGATCCACCTCCTTTCTGCATTTTTGAGTTTACTATAAATTGAGAAAATCAGTATCTTTTCTCTGTACTTAATAGGATTGTTGACAAGACTAAAGCAAGCAAGGTATGAGCAAGCTCTCCATCAAGCCCAAGATGCCTCCAAATGTTTACTGCTACCTCCTCATTGTGAGAAGGCTGGAATTAATTACTTTCCAAAAGCAGATGAAGGGCTGTTATTAGTTCAAGTGAGCTAGGAAATATTCTTGCTCCCTTTGTGGAATTTCAACATGTCAAAATCTGTCATTTGGGGGAAAAATGTGTGGTATCTGATTGTTTCCAGCTCATTTAATTATTTTCAATTTGGAATTCTCATGGCTTTTATATTGTGGGTTGAATCATATATAAAAACTTGCCAGCTTATCAAATATGTTACTTGCTATTCCAAATGTTAGAATACCGTAATCAGTACTTGACCCATCTGTCATGCGGTTTACAATATCAGCACTGCAAACATCCCACAACAATGGCCTCCCCATCCACA